GCTCCTCTTCATTTTTTTAAAGATTTTTTTCATTTTACCCATTTCCATTATTCATTCCTTTCAATTTTCATCCTGATGGCTCCCGCTTGTAAACAAGTTTATGTCATTGTCATACCAAGTCCTACAAATACTCTTGTATAGACCTAAGAAAGGAATCAAGACCAACGAGGAGTTTCAACGAGGAGTTTGGATCAAGTGGTAAACGATTTGTTTCAGCTTAAGTAAGATTTCAAGTTCGAGACCTTGTACGCAGCAGCTCCCATTGAAAGACTCACCCATCATTTCCAAGTGCGCGACGCGGGTCGAATCCGGATTAATCGGGGCGAAACTCTAGATGTCGGGCAGGAAACCAAAAAAAAAAGAAGAAAGGAATCAAGATTTTCTCTCATTTAACCATTGTATTGCTATTTCATTCATCAATAAAGTGCTCGATTTTATCTATTTTTTAATGTTAACAATCACATAAAAAATTAAATACATTAGAACACATAAAAGGTAATCATTTATAATTTTAAAATTTAAATACAAATTTTTTTCATCATTTTTATTTAAACATTTTAGTAGTTTTATTCATTATATAAATTACATATATTTTTATTGTCAAAATTAAAGTTATGACAATTGTCCTTTTTTTTTTCTTTTTCTATGAAAAATGAAAAAAAAAAAAAGAAGACAAAAAATAACCGAAAATTTGAGGATAACTATGAAAAGATGGGATTTTTTTTTTTGAACGGATTACAATGAAAGTAAGAGGATATGAACTCCAATCCAAGAATTGGGGATGCACTTTTAATGTGACTTTAAGTCTCAGACCAGACACCCAAATGCATGAAAAGATGGGACTTAATGGCACAATTTAAAAAAAAAAGGGGTATTCTATGACAAAATTTGAAGTGAAATGAATGTTTTCTATAATATGACTTAAAAAGAAAAGTGTATAATAGCATTTTTATTTTTTTATGTTACTTCCTTCCCCAGCTTTACGAAAGATGGAACAACATGACAGAGCACCTGTTCACCCAATTCATTAGAATCAGCAGAATACTTTAGAAATTCAAACACTCAAGATCTAATATAAATTCACACACACAGATGTAGTTTCTCAAATTATTATAATGCAACTGACAGGCCTAAAGCACCAAGCAAATCCTAATAAAAAGACTGAAGAATAATCAGAGAGCAATAATATCCATCTGTGTCTTCTACTTAAATCTGATCCTGATACTACCCAAACCCACAGGCTAATTTCCAAACATCTTGGCCTAAAACTACAGGGTAAAAGAAAGCCTCCCCAAAAATCTGTACCATGCTTGTCTCATCCGGTAGATATTTAGTGGCAGGATGGGAAGATAAGAACATGGAACAATATATTAAGTTGTCCAAACATGTACTTAGAATAAATTTGAAAGGAGTGAAAAAGAACTGCAAACCTGCATAATAATCAATGCTATTATCTGAGGACTGATTCCAAGCTGAAAAAGGGACATCTTGAGCTCTGCTGCAGAATCACCCAGTTCATCAGCTGAAAACAATATGAGTAAATATTAATGTCCACTACCTTAGGGTCCGGTTTCTTTGAAAATTTCACACAACTTAATATAACTTACCAACAGATCCTGAGACAAAGCTAAGGTAATCTTGAGGAATCAACCTGCGATCAAACCCAGGTAGAGGAACGAAATAACCAACACAACGGATTAAGATCAGTACTGCCGTCACAAATAACCTCCTCTGAATCTCACTGTTGAAGAATTACTCCAGGTTGCATAATGGACTTTTTCCTCTCGTGGAGATTTCATTGATGGTTGTAAATAAGTCAAGCCAAGGGTACTCAAAACTAAAACAGTTAAGCTCAACTTGTTTACGAATTAAGGTTGTCGCTCTCAATCTTGAACTCAATAAAGGCTTGCAAGTAGCTTAATAATCTCTATAAATAAATAAATTATATATAATTTATCTAGCTCAAGATTGAGCTCAATAAACTTTACACCCTCAAAATTGAACCCCAAGCTTAACTTTGAACACAAGCTTGAGTCAATCAAGTAGCTCAACAGTCCTTGTTCATATGTGAAATTGTTTTCTCAAACTAAACACATGTGCATAAATGGTCAACTATGAGACAGAAATGTAAAGCAAGTAACCATTTTTTCATTCCTATGCTGTAATGTAGAGATATATGTGATAATGGGTAAAAGAGAACAAGGGGGCAACCAACAACAAATTCAGGAAACAAAATACTTTCACAATCTTCTATTTCACCATGACTACAATACATTCAGCATAGAAACAATCAGATTCAGTGCTAGACATTCACTTCTAGCACCATACTTTAGATGCAAAAATGGATTCTACTCAATGCTTGAAATTTCACTCACACACATTTTGCTAGTAATTTTTATGAGTGTGTGTGTTTCTTCATTTAGGGGTACATTGTCCTTATTCATCCGCTCTTCAACTATGAGTGGCATTTTACCAGCTTTTGCATAAGTTCGTAGAATTGAATTGTATACCTCTGTAGTGAGATGACCAGCGTTCCGGAGAATAACTAAAAGCTTCTCTGCTCCTTCAATATCACCCTCCTCCTCAATTTTCTTGAATACTTCCTTAACCAACCGACCATTAGGATCCCATTTTTTCACACTACCAATAGCTTGCTTGAAACAAGCTAATACCTTTTCCATCTGTTTCTTCTTCAAATAGCCCCACGTAAGGAGTTCCCAAGTGGTGTAACAAGGAGAAATACCTTTTTGCACAATTCTTTGGTAAAAGCTTTCAGCGACTTCCATCTGGTCTCTGTTGATGTATGCAGCAAGAAGTAAATTTGGAATTCTAGCATCACCAGTTGTACTAACAGATTCCCACTCATTATAAAGATTCTCAGCTTCTCCAAGGTCCTCAAGCTTGACAAGTGAAGCTATCATACATGTGTACTCAGCATCATTCATTTTGTGGAAACTAGATTTCATCTTTTTCCAGATTCGCTGAACCTCATCCTTATCCTGAATGTTTGTATACAAACTGAGGAGGGACGAATAGGCAGCTCGGTTTCTCCGAGAAGCCATCTTTTCCATATCCTTCAATGTAGATGCTGCCTTCTTGAATTGTTTTCCTTTAATGTATATGTTAGTTAAAGTACTATATGTTACCCAGTCTGGATCTAGTTTTGCCTTCTTCATCGTTGACAAGATATCATCTGCAGTCTCCGTGTCGTTTTTTGTGGCACAAACAGCTAACATTAGATTATATGTGACAACATCAGGCAAAGTATTTTTCTTTAATTCCTGAATTTTCTCCGGAACCTTTTCTACTTGCCCATTCGAGATGTATAGTGAGATCATATGATTATAAGGAAGAGGAGACTTTAAGAAACCACATTCTGACATTTTCTCCATCAAAGCCTCGGCTTTGGCAGACATCTTGTACTGAACATATGTGTGGAGCAGAGCTGTGCAAGTGTGTCGATCTCTCATTTGATCAGGAAGGTCTTCAAAGAACTTTTCTGCACTAGCTAACCCACGAATTTTTGCAATCAAGTCCAAGTGGACAGCATAGTCACCAGGCAATAGCTTGATGTCATGCTGGAGTGTCATCCATTCACAAATCTACATCGAAAAATCAAATAATCATGTTTCACTGCAAAAGATACACTCTTTCCCTGGAATGATATTTGATAAAAATTTCAAGGAAAAGATAATAACTAATAAGATAATAAATCTTGGGGTTCTCACATCACATTGTTTATTGAACCAAAGGAAGCAACTCAAGCAGACAAAATAGTTGAATATCTTTTGCCTTTGCTAACCAGAGAATAGATTTTCCTATTGCGAATTTGATAAAGGTCTGCCTAAGCTTTTCATGATCAGAAGTTGAGAACCCCTGTTCCAGCACCGAATATAGAATGTCTTCCCAACTGTTCATATAAATGAACTAGATTTACACTTCTAAATTTTTTGTGATTTAAGGACGTAACTTTTCAAGACATAATAATTATGGTAACATTATTGTTATATCCATTCTTTTCTTCCATGTATATCACCACAGGAAGTGAGGCTAGCACTAGCACTCCTTGCATGTAACCCTTTACTACCATTAAAATATTACATATATGAATACCTTGGTCACACTATTCCAAAGCCCTGTTTACCGATGAGGACCACCAGACCAGGGTTCCCATCGGGGAGATAGATGATTTGTTCTAATGTTTTCTAAGACAATGGACACTAGGCAGTAGGAATTTAAGAAACTAAAAACCCAATCTCAAAATGGAGACAATAGAACAGCTTATCAAAACTAGCAAGCTTAAGAAAGGGGTCACATTATGTTTCTTTAAGGTGAAATGTTGCAAGTTACCTTTCTATATGGTTTACAAATGAGGAACAGAGGATCACTAGGGTTTGATTATCAGTTGCTCCCATATCATGCACATTAAGCAGTTAGCCCCTTCAGAAAACTCTTCAACTTAATAGCAACATGTCAATAAAATCCAACTGCCAATATAGAGCCAGAACAACAGCTTATATGAAAATAGGGTATAACAATTCCCAAAGACCCTAGTACATTTTCCACTTGTTTCCTTCATTTGTTACCTCACTTCTTGCATTTACAAACTGTCACTGCAATTGACCTAGAAAAATCTTAAAAAATGCACCTTTAGCAATCCATCAGGTTGACCCGAATAAAAGTAACATACAGCATTCCAGTTTCCCATATAAAATTTTAATCCAGAAAAAACTCCAAGGGAAAATTTCAAAACTTTAGCTCAGATCTCAAATAGTCTCAAAAAGAAAGGGAGATTTAAAATTATTAACCCTGGACTGCATTGCAAAATAAAAGAGGAGAGTATGGTCCCATGGGAAGTAAAGCTACTTCCTAAAAGGCTGAAAGTACAAAAATTCACACTTGGCAGACTTGAAAATGATAAACCCATCTTCCTAAAACCTCCACTACAACAATAACGAGCGCAATCTAACTTCAACTTACCATTCTCAATAAAAAATTGAACCAAAAACTGAAATTCTAGAATGAATAAGAAATTAAGTACACTATTAGGAAAAGAAAGGAAATTGGGTAAACGAATAGAAGGATGAGAACCAGACCTCGAGGGCGTGTTTGTAGCGCTTGAGTTTCCGGAGCTCTCTCACAATCCGGTTGAGCTCGTACTTGCGGACCGGACGGCCTTCCTCTTTCCATTTTCTTATAGCAACCACCGCGCTACGTTTTGGGTAGACGAGACTTACAAGCCTCCCTCCTAGCGTATCTCGGGTGCCGCCACCACTTTTTTCCGCTCCTTTAGAAACTTTAGCTGCTTTCTCGGTCGCCGCCGCTACCGTCGAGAAATACCTTGCGGTGGTGAGGAATGCGCGAACTTGGCGCATCATCGTTTCACAGGGTGAAAATTTTTGGGTATCCCCATTGAGCTGTCCTTTCCTCGGGGGTTTAGAACCCGGGTGGGCTGTCCCTTACTCGGAGGTTTTAGAACACGGCCCGACCCAGCCAGTCGGACTGATTCAACTGAACCTTGTTATAACAACGGGTCGGGCATATACCTTAACCTATTTTGAGGGAAAACCCGTTAGAACCTACCACCGGCCTATTGATCCAAGTAAGAAGAGTTTAGTTTTTTATCCAAGTAAGAAGAGTTTAGTTTTTTTAAATAAGTTCTTAAGTTCAACTCTAGTATTGGAAGAGTTTTTCTAAATGAGTTTAACGTGGCTTAATTTTAAATTAATTGATATACAATAGAATTGTTGAATACCGAAAAATTAATAAAAAAAAAACCGTCAATTCCATCAAACCCGCTCAACTCCCTAAACCCAACTGGACTGTTTCAAAATTTTTTACATTTTATGCATTTTACCCCCTCTTTTTCATTGTTATTTTTTTGCCTCCCTTTTGGATTTTATTTTTGATGTTCCTCTTGGACCTCCCCAACTTGTAACAATTAAAAGAGAACTAGCTGCTAGGCTGGAAGTCCGTAGAAGGTGCAAATTATCTCTTAATATTTTTAATTTGAATCAAATTAGTATTTAAAAAAGAGTTAGAGTAAATTCGTATTTCAAAATTTTATTTTTAAAAAATAATCCAAATTTAATGATTTAATGATTTACATCAAAAAAATGTTAAAAATAATTTACACATTTGGCTATTTGAAGTCTCTTCTCATGTGGGCTTTAAATGGAGCTAAAATCCCCACTTTATAACCAACCAACTTTCCAACACAAAATAAAACAATTTAAGGCCCAACCCCCTCAGCTACCTTCTTACTTGGAAACTTTGAGGGTTTCTATTAGTGTTGTCAAAATTTAGATTTAAATTGTAAAATCTTATAAGTTTACGATTTCAGTAAGATGTAAAATCTATACCAAAATCGAAAATTCATAAAATTTAGGGTCAAAAACATAAAATCGAGATTTTACTGTAAAATCGAGGAAAATCTCGATTTTACCCCATGTTTGGCAACTGAACTTTTTGCCCATTTCTTTTTAGATTTATCATCTTTAGTTAGTGAGTTTTGACTAAATAATCCATAAATTAAGCCTATTTTTCATTTTAAAAACCCACAACCCACACAACCCAACCACAAATCAACATTTTAATATGAAATTTGAGACAAATTTGATTTAACCATCTAAAATTCTAAATCTAAGTTATCTTCTTTAGTCTTCAATTAGTGTTCGCCGCAAGGGAGGGAGAGATTGGATTGGACTGCCGCTGCCCACTGCCTGTCGCTGCCCACTGCCTGTCGCTGCTCACTGTCGCTGCTCACTGCCACTGCCACTGCCACTGCCGCTGCTCACTGCTGAGTCACTTGCCGCTGCTCACTACTGAGTCACTTGCTGCTGCTCACTACTCAGGGACTTGCTGGAGTTGCTACTGCGTTGTTGGAGTTCCTACTGTGCAGCTCACTGCTCAGAAGCTTCCCGGAGTCACTTATTTTCTGTCGTTGCCCATTGCCTGTCATTGATTTATTGTTGTTTAATTTTAATTTTATATAATTTATTATATATTATATATTAAATTTTATAAAATCTCAATTTTACTGATTCAATTTTACGATTTCAATTTCACATAATTAAAATGATTTTAGGTAAAATCTTAATTTTGACGTACTTGATTTCTATCCCTCGTCTCACAATGTATGCGTTATAGCTCGATATGTACTTAAAGATATGTGCCGAAAGTTGACGCAAAAAGTAGTAACCATCATTGTTCGATTAGTAAATGTCTTGTCAACACCGTCTCAAGTCTCAACACTCAAGATCTACAATTCTACGTTGTTCGACACATGTTTAGAAGCCGAGGGTCGAATTTTTAAGATAAGAAGAGCTGTTTGGTTGAGTTTTGTTTTGAAGAAACAATTAAAACAAAACCGGTAAACAAAAAGGCTGAGTTTAGCAAAAATAAAATTTTTGACATAAAATTCAAGATTTAATATAAATTATTATAATAAAAAAATAATTAATTATGTTAAATATATAATTAATTGCAAAAATTAAGAAATAATTATAAATAATATAATAAATTATATACCTTTTATAATCAATTACTTCATTTTTCAAACAAAATATCTCAAAAATATTTACACAAAATGAATTACTCTATTATAACCAATTATATTAAATTTTCATTTTCATTTTAAAGAACTTTATTTCCTAAGCTAAGCCTAACGTCTTTTTTGTCAGCTTTCCCGATTCTTTCCGAGAAGGCCTCGATTAAACAGGCCCATAGGGTGGGCCGGTGGGGCATGGTGGTGTTTGGAGGAGAGACGCCATACAATTTTTCTTTGAGGAGTGCTAGGGGCACTCGCCTTCTGCACTCTCCGGCCAACACTTTCACTTTTATTGGGCCACGTTATTATGGTCGGTAAGAGGTTGAACCCAAAGCCTGAAACAAGCTTACGTGGCCCAATCAAAGGGGAAGTGTTGGCCGGAGAGTGCAAGAGGCGAGTGCCCCTAGCACTGCTCCTTTTCCTTTTGGGGATCAAACCGAGGAAATCATGAAAAAATAGTACTTGAAGTTGAGTTTTGGGATGAAAGAAACGTGTCCAGAGTCATTACACAGATTATGGCAATGCTAAAGTTTCGAGCGAATAATATAGGAGTTTTTATTTATTTATTTTTAATTAATTTAATTTAATTTTTTAATTTTTAATATAAAAATTTTAGATAAAAATTTAATAATTAAAATTTTTTAAATCAAATAAAAATACTTAATAAGAATTATTTATATAGACAACAAAATCCATTTGTTATTCATAAAAATTGTTCTTTTTTTATTCAAAATTTTATATTTTAGAAGTTAAAAAATTAACTAAATTTATTAAAAATGAAAGAAGAAAATAATACTTCAAATAGTGGTTAATTTTTTAATTTTTTTTTGTTTTAAATTTAGTAAGAATTTATACACAATTTATATTATATTTAAAATCAAAATAAACAAAAAAAATTGGTGATAAAGTTGATAATTAAAATAAGCAATAATTGTTACTCCATTTAAAAGTAGAAAAAAATGTCTATCTTAATAACTGAAAAATAAAAATTAATTTAAGATAAATTATGAGTTTAAAAAAAATTGAGAAATGTTAACAGTAATCATTTTTTGCACTCTTCTTCAACACTGGTGATTGGTTCATGTGTTGATGATTTTAAATTTAAATAATTTAATATGTGCACATGGCCAATGATAGAGAAATACAGACCACATATAGTGAAGGTTGATGAAAGGTGGGAAAAAAAATTCATCAGCATCCCTCAACAAAACATTTATCTTAGGGCAGAAGGAATAATATGTATAAAAAATAACATTTAATTTACCAATCAAATTTTTTTAAAATAAAAATATATACGAGAGTATGTTTTCTCAATTAACTCCATCAAAATAATTAAAACAATATATTTTCAAAATAAAAGTGAGATCAATCATTAAACACTAATCTTTATATATATATATATATATTGAAAAGTGAAAAATTTAGAAAAATTAGATAGTACATATCAAGACTCAAACCCTAATAAAAATAAGAGTGAGGATAACAATACTCTTAATTAATCTTAATAAAATTATTTTTTTTATTTTATTAATTATAATTTAATAATTTCAGATTACATATTTAAAAACAAATTCAACCTATAAAATATGAATCTCATAATATATTTATTAAATATTATACTATTATTTTCAATTATACTATCTCACTTCCCCAAATTTTCCACTCTTCAACCGCACATAATAACTTGGTGAAGAGTGGGAATTTGATATAATAATTTCCATGTGTGTACAAATTATTATATATATAAATTTAAAATTTAGAAATTTAGTCAATTTTTAAATTTAAATATTAATATATATATATATTTTGAATAGTGTAAAATTTTTTCGGAGAAAAGAGAAGGGGAACTTGAGATTTGATCCCAAGTTCTTTAGTCCTAAGCACATTCCACGAGGAGGTGACCATTGGGTTACCAAGTGTTGAACAAATTTAAATATTAATATTTAATAAAATAAATTTTTAATTTTTAAATTAAATTTTTATTAAGTAAAATAATATAATTTAATTGAGTTTTATTTACAATTTATATATTAAAAAATTAAATTAAAACTATTAAAATTAAACAAATAAAGTATATATTTATTCTCTTATATGTACATATTTTTATCTTTATTTGACGAGTAGGAAATTTGGGGAAGTGAGACACGCCCTTAAAAATTGACAAATTGTATCGTAAAAAAATAATAATAATAAATAAAAAAAGGGATATTCTGCGCGCGTTTTGACGTGTCAGTAAAACTGCAAAACTATAGCGGTGCCGTTATCCGTAACGGAGCGTGGACCACATTTCCTATCTGGTAACAAACCTCGATTCCAAAAAACCAAATCTCAACCGTCCAAAAAATATGGACGGCTTCCAATTCATCTTCTTCCCAGCTTTTAACCCCCTCATCTATCTCCCGAAATAGCAAGATGTGAAAATAAGGAAAGCTCAAAGCGAGAAAAAAAAAAAAGAAAAATGGGCGATTATGGGAGAAACTGTAAACGAAATTCAGCAGCTTCAGAAATGGAGGAGGTTTCAAGTGCTAGCGTATCATTGTCTAAGAGAAGCAAGATATTCAAGGAGTTCGAATCACCTTCGCCGGGGATTGAGCTGGAAATTCCTCCTTTGTTCTCGCATTTTCTGGAGAAGCCGGTTTCACCGGCGACGTCGTCGAATTCCGGCGGAGTCGTTGTCGGCGAGGTTAGTTCCAGCATCTGTTGGGATGAGTCCCTGGTGTCTCGCTGCTTTAGCAACGAGTCTTGTGAAATCGTAAAGGAGAGCCTGACGTTCGTAGATCTGGAGGTGAATTTTTTAATTTAGTGTTTAAGATATGATTTAACGTTTTCGTTTTGTTTGGTGGGTCAGAAAAACGGAGGAAAAGAAAAGAAAACGAAGAAAACAAGCTTTTACGTACTTTCTCAGATTTTTTGCCATTTTTGTTTCAAGAAAGTAATTAAACGACGGATCACTGAACAAAACTATTTTTCTGTCTGTGTTTCGGGTAGCGAAATAGTCAGTCGAGTCAGTGATTCTGTTTCTGCGCTTTAAACAGACAAAAAATTGCTCACTAATTCTAAAATTCGTCTGTTCTTCAAAAATTCTCCGTCTCTCCTTCATTAATTCGTTGTTTCAATTTGCAAAAATGTAAATATTGCAGGCCAAGAGTTTCGAAACTGAAATTTCAACGTGCAACAACAGCAGCAACAAATTCAGGTTCTTTTTTTTTTTTTTTTTTTTTTTTGCAATTTTCTCATTAAATTGTTTTAATCATCACCAACATTGAAGCTGAATCGTTTCTTAATTTAAAGCTCGTTGAGTCGTTTCTATGCATTCGACTCACAACTCTCACAAATTTTCTGCATTTTCGCCTGGAATTTATCAGTAAGGAAACCACTCCGTTGAGCCAGCTTCGAGGTGATTTCGAAGAAATGGACTCGACAATGAAGAAATCATCACCGGCTGTGGCTAGTAATCAGCCGAGAAATTCACATGCAGTGGCGAAGATGCCTTCACAGGTGGAGATCGATGAGTTCTTCTCGGTCGCCGAGAAGGACGAACAGAAACGATTCACAAAGAAGTGAGTGGGATTTGCTGATTTTCCGCGTGAGAGTGTGTAGGATAAGAAGTATTACTACGCAGGCTCAATTTAGCCTTTGGTAGAATCTGGAAATCAAAACCTTAACTAACTTCCCTCCCTGCACGTTTTTTCCAGGTACAACTATGACATTGTCAAGGACGTGCCACTTGAGGGTCGGTACCAGTGGGTTCGTTTAAAGCCCTGAATGAATGCAGAAAGAGAAATATCAGAGCAAAACGAAATCCCGTAAATTTGGGTCAGTATTCCTTGTATTTTTGTACAGTTTTACTCCACCTGATGTTAGAAGAAGCTCCTGTTTTTTAGGTGATACCACATTCAGAAAAAGGCTTCTGCCGCATCCTAGACGGCTTGACCAATTTGGAGCAAGAAAAATTCCCACTCAATTAATTTTTCTTCTCCTCTTATTTGTACAATCAATCATTCATGTTTTTAACTCGTCTTCTGTCGAATTTGGCTCTTCAAGCAAAGCAATAATGGTATTTGGTTTTACGTTTGAAAGGTGAACTTTGTTTGAGCTCCAATTGGCTGCATTTGAATTCTTCACCGTTCTCTCTGCAGTTTTTGCTACGTTATTATCGTTCATTTTTTCTCCTTAGAATATTCCTTTAGAAATATCGGCACATATGATTCCATTTGGGCACTATTATTTCGATGGCTATGGGCACGATTTTGCATGGACTGTCAATATCTTCACAGCCTAAGTGGGGGACCGCTTGAAGGACACCAAAAAAATTTTTTAAATAAGAAGCCAAAAAATCATCATTTGTGCTTCCTTCCGGATCCACCCATCTCAATCATTAGATTAGAATTCTCCGCCACCCAATCACCCTCCAAAACATGTCAAAAATATTTCGCTTTCTCATTCATTCAACATTAATTATTTAATTGATAGATTCCCCTCTTAATGGCGGTTGTTTCTTCTCTGCATATATCATTAAAAAAAGAAAAAACAGAATGAAGAATTGGTCTGTTCAGGAATTTTTTTTTTTTAAAAAAAAAGGTAGAATGTGCAGGATCAGGATTTGATTGTCTGCTGGGATAATTTATATTTCGCATCTCCAGTACAGTTACAGCTGGCAAAAACTGCTTTTCCTTTTTTTTTTTTAAATGATGGTTTAAAAAAAAAAAAAAAAAAAGAATGGGGAATTGAGGGAAAAGAGGAAAGGTTATTTTCACACAAATATTTGTTATTGTCCCACAATATTATAAATGTATTTAGTTTGATTATTATGAGAAATTGATAACTATAATTATTAATTAATAATTTATACAACAAGTAATATATAATATTTAATAGTTTAAAACCAACCTGTATATTAATATTTTCAAACTCTTTAATTAATTATAAACCATTAGATTTTATAAGAAGACAACAAAAAAATTGAAATGTTTCTCAAATATAACCTCATTTTCCTTGAGAATTTAAAGATCTTTTAAGATATAATAGAATTTAAAATCTCCATTAGAATTGTAGAACTTAAACTCTGTAATTAAATGTATATTCGTTGAAGAAGCAATTGTTGGAGCTGTATGTCCCTACTGAAATCCATCATTTTGAAAATGTGTCTTTTAGACATCCAAAAATCATATTTGAATTTGAAGCATGTTCCTTCAATTTTGAATTTAAAAAATTAAGTTAAAAAAATTCAAAATTAATAGAAAAAATAAAACTACTTTTGACAAGTAAAAATCCTAAGATGTGCCAATTTAAATGAAAATATAAATGGACAAAATCTAAACTCAAACCTACAAGCCAAGAGTCTAACTTCACTCAATTATATTTGGACAATGGGTAAACACATATAAATTTAGATATGGGATGTACGTACCGAAGTTCCAACCATTTCAAACTATTTAACATAAACTGATAAAATAAGTTAAATCAAGCAAATTTATAGTATATTTATATAGTCTTAACAAATGTTTGTTTGAAAATAACTATAGTTGGAACGGGTGATGGTACTTAAAAAAAAAAAAGAAAAAATAATGGAGAATTAGTGGGAAAAGGGTTTATATACATTACATAACAAGTGTAATACTTGATTGAACCTTCACAAACCATGAATATAATGGGTGCATTCTACTGATGGTGTGGCAATAGTATTTGAGGGTGAGCATATAGGTCAGGTACTTAATCATACTTGTATTTCACTTAAATAGTGACAAGTATAAGGTTTTGATACTCATTATTTACTCTTGTATTGAAAATTTATACCCATTATTTAACTCACTAGGAACAGGTATACCTGCAAGTATACCTGTATATTCGCTAAATATTACAACATTTGATACAAATTAAAACACAATTAAATCTATTTCAAAACCATAATTTAGTTTTTATAAAAAGAACAAAACACATAGTTTAGTTCATATATAGTACATATTCATAAAAAAATACATGATTTCATTCTTATAACAAAATACATAATTTAGAACATAAACACAAGTTCATACATATAACAAAACATGTAAGTATTTATACTAACAAATATACAAGTTTAAATATATAACAAAATATATACAAACACAATTCCATAAACTCTTCATTCATTAGAATCTTCCCTACATGAAGAAAAAAAAAACATAAACATTCTAATTTTATAATATTATATTAC